TCTAGTATATTAATTTATGAAAGTTACAGGAAATGTTGAAAACATGGCAGCTATGATGATTCTAAAAAGCACTCTAAAGTTCCCAAATACAAAGTGCCTGAATTTAAATATTGTTCAATTAACTAAGCATCTCTGCTCTTGGAGATCTAACATTTTAAGTCCAAATAGCCTCTGTGTTATCATTTTGACTTAGATTTAAAGTCCAAAGAGTATTTTTAAAGGGAGTGAAGGGAATATTGTATAATTTTCTCTCTAAAGTGTTTTGGGAATTATAATTTATTTTACATTCTATCAGATTATCTTAAGTCTCACTGGATGGAAAACAATTTGTCTACGTTCAGCTTTAACAGTAAAAATGTGAATTTTGGAGACATGAAGCATAAAAGATATATCAAGTTCATTATATAAACAAAGAGTTTATTTTACTGTAGGGAATATAATGAACAAAAAGTAATAATTGAGTATGTACTAGATTAAATGACAACTTGAGAGGAATGTTTTACAGTTTACCCAAAATTAAACAACACATCAAGTACCTTTTAGATTTACTTTATTATTTTTAATGAACTAAGTTTAACATTTTACAAATCTTCAGATTGTTACAGTTTTCAGCAGTAAATATAGTAGTAACAGCAATAAATACACTGAAATATGAGAGTTCTCTGAAAGAGTACAAAAGATAGGAACACTTGAAAACAAGAGGCAAAATGTCAACTCTAGATCTGAAATAGAAATTAATACAGCTGATTTCCTTTACAATGCTGGTACATGGGGAAGTGAGTAACTCATACCTTGTAAATGAATATGTAACTTTGAGCTTTACCTTTCTGGGAAGTTTTGAGGGACATAATTTGACCCACAGATCTCTAAAACCCTATAATATATATTGATGCCAGAGGATTCAAACACACAGAAAGTGATCTGAAAATGATTGCCAAAGCAAAGGAAGTGCTTTTATTCATCAACATTTGTGATCTTCATGGCATACTATGTATTATAAAAGGGTATAATCCCTATATAACTGCATAAAGTCATAAAAATTGATTTTTACAAACTCTCAAGATCATATTATGTATTCAAAAATACATATAGCTGTGCTTTAGTAAATGAATCCATCAGTTGAGACAGTTTTGCCTTTAAGGTATATCCAAAGTATATACAAAGGATCCACAAATGTTAACAATTTGTGATTAAAATTATCTAGGTTTACATTTGCAGAAAAATTGTATTGGTTTTCAATTTAAAAATTTAAGAAAGTTGTGAGTATTGATTTATCACTGGGTTAAGAAAAAGTAGATGGCTTCAGCTTTTTAACAGGAAATCTGTGAACTACACACAAATGGGAAGTCACGTTCTTTTGATCATTAGAAAAGATAAATTCCCTATAATTCCCAATTGAGAACAGCATGTGCAGTGTAAAGAAAAAAGTTTTATTCTGAAACCAAACAAGTAGTTCTAGAAAAGCCCTTGGGATAGTCTCATTTCCCTTACACAAGAATGAATAAAATAAATGCCATACCTGAATGATAAAATGGTATACCCTTATACCAATCTGTGTATTTCATTACCAAGCTGAGATGAAACATTTTTATTTAAAGGTGGGAAAATATATACACTTAAAATATTGAAGAGGTACAACATTTTGCTATATAGTTTCTAACTCAATCCAACATAAACAATTATCAATATATACTGGATTCAAAAAAGGATTAAACACACAAAAGAGAAATGTTACTTACATGCAAAATTCATTGTTCCAACATGAAACACTAAGTCTATTTCTTAATAAAACTGCACATCTGTATAATCTGGCTAACAGAAAATGCACACTTAAGATGTTATATCCTTCTAATAATGCAGGTCTATATCAAAGGCACTTCAGCAGAGTACTAACTTTTTAACCTTTTCCAAATCATTTTCATTCATGCTGCTTTTGATGTATCTTTCTGTATAAGACCAATAAGAAGCCTCCTCTAATGGTGAGCCTTATCACTACTCTAATAATAATAAAAAGCAGCAGCCTAGGTATTACACAAAATGTTTATTTCTTCTATGGACTGGGGTAATACATAGCAAACATTTGCCTAGGTCTTTATGTTCTTTGGGTTAATATAGTAAGGTAGGAGAGTTACCTGACAGGACATGTTTCAGAAGTGGTTACAAGAAAAAATTGCTGAAGTCTACTATCTTAGGGAAGAAAGAAAGCTGTTGTCTTTCATTGCACATTTATCTACAATTTTACTAAAGCTAATGTGGCCATTTGGTTCTTTCAACTTGTTTACGTGATTTGGGTCTCTGTGGCTCCCATGTTGAATAGTAGCAGATGAAAAATCAATTTAGTTTCACTTTTTCCCCCAAGGGAAAGGGAAAAGTGCTTCAGATATTTGTCTTTATGGAAATTTTAAGAAAAATGGGATGAGTTGATTTTACTTAACAATAAACTTTCATTTTTAGGACATACCAATGATAATTCAGAGTTGAAGACACAATTAAAAACAGCTGTTAAATGTATGCACACTGAATTCTTTGCTATAATGAAAAGAATGTGCATATATTATGTACAAAACTGAAAAAAATGTTGCAAAGGTTATCAGTGACTTAAGGAAAAACTTTTACTTTTCCCCTGAAATTGAAATTGTTTTCCTCATACCTTTTATGAATGTCAACACCTGATGTAGAACTAATATCCTGAAGGTATTTTTGAGCCTCAGGAAAATGGCATTTCTTTTTCTGCCCATCAAAATTTCAGGAAAAAAAAAATGTTTATCTCCACACATTTTGTTAACTTTTTGGTGTTCCTAAAAAATTTTCAGATCATTGATTTTTTTTTTTTTTAACTTGATAGCCTTTAAGTGACTGAGATTGGGTTTTGGGAATAGAGGAAATATATTAAAACTGACTTTAGCCTATATGTGTCAGTGAGCCTTAAAGTAAAGTCACAGACTTTTTTTCGGATTGTTGAGGGGTAGAAAAAAAGTAAATTTAAAATAAAAATTCAGTATCAGAACATTCACTTCTCAAATTTCTAAATAACAAATTAACATCTTATTTATTCTGTGAAATTATATCTAAAAACAACCAAAGACCTGGTGTCTCCATCTCTAATGACCAAGCAGCTTCTTGCTCATCTTATGTGAATGTAGGATTTACTTTTGGGATGATATAATACACATGCTGTTTATCTCAGAAAATGTTTGGTATTAAACTCCAGAATAACATCAGTTCAGAACATTTATCAAGTAATTCTCAAGGAGAGGCAGAGGAGGAAATAGTATTTCACAAGAACATGATACCTGAAGAAGACAGTTTCATTTCTAAATGTTCCATAGGGTAGTCACCAAGGCAGAGGAAACCTTTTTGTAAGCAACTTTAGTAGTACGTCTCACTATGTTATTCTTAACAGAGGCAGGGCCAAATTGGTTGACTGAGCAACATTGTCAGATAATATCTTGATGCCATTTTACATTTTGAAAACTTGGATACTTCAAATTCATCACCCAAAAATAAATGAAAAGAATAGGTCTCTTGGTATGTTTCTGATTACTGCATTACCATTTCACTATTTACTCTGCTTGAGACATGTCCAGGGACCATAAGATTGCTCAGTCTCAGCTTCTTAAGTTCATACTGCAATTTACAACAAGAAGCAAGAATAGACAGCACGAGACAGCAGACACACAACCACCCTACGAGTTAATTTATGGGGATTAGTGGGCGTTCCTCTCGCTTCTTCCAGATATTAGTCTTGCTATCTCTTTTGGCTAGTGGTGGTCTGCCCCTTTTTTTAGTGGGGGATGTATTGGCTTCAAAATCTTCAGTAGTGCTTTTTCTTCCCGGGGACTCTTCCGCAGGGTGCTCCATAATAACTCCACTCCCTCCATCTAGGATGTGCCTTAAAGCTGGGTCCTCAGGGGAGCAGACAGTGGTTCCGCTCTCACTGCTGCTGAGGTCTAAATCTTCTAAGTAAAGGATCTTGGGTTGATGCATGCTTTTGATGAATGTTTTCTCTCTCTCAAGCTTTCTACTAGAGTGATGCTCATTCATGTCTACCCCAGAGTCCAGACTCGTGTCATTGCTCTGGGTTCTCTTGCCCTTTTTCAGGTCTATAAAGGAGTGCCTCACTTGCGCAACTGGCTTTCCATCAAGAGAAACAAACCAGGCTCTGGGATGGGGGGAGGGCTTTCCTTTGGACAGCTCCAGGAGGGTCTGTTCTGAAATTCCTTGAAGCTCCGATGAGAATGGAGTCATTACAACAGCCTCATTTAGTGTTCCAGGAACAGAGACGGATTCCAGTAAGCTGTTCGAATATCGGCTCCAATCTGAAGTCTGCGATGGCAAACTCTGTTGACCTTCAAGTATGATATCCTCTTCCCTGGCATCTGCGGGCTGTGCATGAGAATGCATTGGCATTTTGGGCAATGTCTGCGTAAAGTTCTCTCTGTTTACTGGTTCCATCAATTGGCCGTACACTAACTGTCCCTTTCTTGGCAAAGTAGCTGACTTAGTAGCATGTAACTGCTCTGGAGTGGAGAAGAGGTCAGATGTTTGAAGGATGGCAATAGGCTGGCTATAGATATGCATAAGCTGCTCAGGAATGTGGGAACGCCCATACATCTCCTCATTACCTGGGAGATACCTCTTTTCCTCTTGAGCATCACCTAAAGATGAAGATAGATTGTTGTTAATATGTTTAGGTTGTTTGGACCCTACATTGGGCTCCAAAGACTGTGTTGGTTTTCTCGAATAATTATTTTGATTGACTGACAGAAATGAAACATCTTCATTGTAGATCTTAAAATTGTCCCGAGTTTTTACCATGGAAACTCTTTCTTCTGCTTCTGTCTTTGACGGTTCCTTTTTCTGAGGGCTGTAGGAGGAGTTTTTGGCGTTGAGTAACTGTGACTTGTCCTCAGCTTTTAATGCAACTTTGACTGAACTGATGTGATTTATGTGTGTTGTTGAAGTCGTCTGGTCTCTCTTGAGAACTTCAAGCTTAGTGATATTTCTTTCTCTTTTCTGTGGAGTACCACACTTATCCCTAAAATAGACGAGAAGACAAAAAATATTCAAAAGTTATGATCCAAAAGGTTCATTTTTTTCAAAATCACCCTACAATATGCACATCACAGGTGCAATGCTACTGTTAGAATATATCTGTTTTTATTTTTAATCTACATATTTTAAAGACTAAACTATTTCTAAAATAAACTTTGTAATGCACAGAACATACTGAAATACTATAATTTGATAGTTCATATCATACACATTAATATTGTATATTCATACACATTAATGTTGTTCTTACCTGCAATAGCAAAGCAGTATAGCGAAAAATCCAATGACAATGACTATTGTTCCTCCTAATATGGCTGTAAGAAACACTGTGTGGTAGGCAGTTATGTCCTTGGAATCTTCATTTATACCTGAACCTACATGGTTCAATATAAATAAAGAAAATGTTATTTTAGATCAAATGTTCAACTATGTCACATCCTGGATGAGGCAAATTGAATATGTGTACACACTTTTGTTTGCTTCCCTCCCATGGCAGATTTCCTGTGGGTAAAGTATACCTTCCCTATCCTTTGAGCTTAACCAGTTGCCTTGTCTTGACCAATGAAATGTGAGCACACCTTAAGTGAGGTTGCATGGTGTACCTCTGCCCTCTTGCTTGGGCCTTCTAGTATGTTAAGATTAGAAAGTCACTATTTCTTCAACCTGGGGTCTGGAATGAGAAAATCTGTTGAACTGAACCAAGCCAGGCCCAACAGTGCAGAAGTCAACCCAGAACACTTATAAAATATAGTAGCAAATAAATGTTCGATATTATTAGCCACTGAGACAGCAGGGTTGTTTGTTACTATAGCAATGCCTGCAGAAATCGGTATCTAGATGCTGCTATCACAAAAACCTAAAATATGTGACACTGGCTTCCAGATTAGACAATGAGCAGTCAGGAAATGGTTTTAAGAGGCAGTAAAGTGATAAAATATTTGTTAGCAAAATATCTGGTAAAATAAACTGGGAGAAAGTATTTCTAACTAATTTAAGTTTTGTGCTAAGAGGTTTTGAGATAGAATGTTGATAGTGACTATTAATTAGCTGCATTTGATTTAAAAAATTCTGAGGTTAAATTCAAAAAAGAATTTGCCAAAGCAAGCAGGGATATAAAGAATAGAGAGAATCCAAAAATTCTGGGACTTGAAGGACTATGAGTTATAACTCCTTCCGCCAAGACTCTAGAACAAGACGACACCCCAAGTAAGCCAAGCCCAGCAGAGGCACACTTGACCCCTTGTCCTTGTGTTTTGACAGAGCACACATATACAAATGCTTTACTGCAGTAAAAGCTGGCTAATTCACTAGGAGGATCAGTGTAGGCTATTAATCTGCAAAAAATGCCACTGGACAATTAATCTTGAAGTAATCTGCTTCAATATCACTAAGGCTTCAATAATAAGTCTACCTGTCAGTATCAACTAGATTCTAATATGGGTTCAGGGTGATGGGGTGAGAAGAGTGAGTGGTGGGACAACTGGTTTTCTAGTAATCTCTACCATGAGGAAACATCCATAATGAGGCCTCCAACTGCACCAAGGACACTGGAAGAAACTGAAGGACCACCAGGTCTTTTAAGTCTATTTTTTAAATTCTTCATCGACTACTTTGATAAAGGCAAAGTAGTAATAATAATATTAAAGTTTGGAGAAACAGCACTGTGGATATCCACATAGACTTTGGAGCCAGAGTGTCTGAATTGGGATCCTGGCCTCATCAATTATTTTTATGTGGTCTTGGACAAGTTTCATTTCTTTGTATCTCAGTTCCCTCATTTGTAGAGCAGTAATAACAGTCATATCTAACCCATGTGAGTTGTTGAGGATTAAATGAGTTAATACTTGTGAAACACTTAGAATAGTGCTTGGTTCATGATGAACACTCAGTAAGTGTTAGCTCTACCACACCTTTGTTGTTGTGGAATGAAGCTTCAAGGTTATATAAGAGGCACTCTAGTATTGGCCACAGTTTCACAGATGGTGACTGATAATAAAGCCTTTATCTTTTCTAATGGGCAAACAAGTAGAGCAATGCACAATATGAAATTTCTTCAAACAAAAAAGCAATGAGAGTAACTTAATCCTATCTGCAGATTCCTAAGGAGGATCAAGAGCTGCAGGACAGTAAAGTTTGATTACTACTGGGTATATATTAATACATGTTTCCACAGTGGAGTAATGCTAACAATTTTCACTCCACAGGAATCCAACAGAACTCATGTTTGGAAATAGGTTGATAACTATTGGGCTTGCTCCAAATCCTATACATAGGACAGTAGTAAAAGAATATGCATCTGCTCATGTGCATGTGTGTGCATGCCTAGGGGGTTAGAAAAGTAGAAAATCACAATGTATTTTCATTCAAATATATTTGGAAATATATATTTAAAACAGTAAACTCTAAGTTTATTAAACTCTATGCTCTGCCAACTACTTTCCTACAACAAACTGAAAAATTATTTTAACCTCTTGCACTTAGCATTTTTACCAAGGAATTCTAGAATTCTATTTAAAATTTAATTTAAAAAACAAAATTTAGTACATTATAATAACCACATTATAACTAAAGTAGCTCCAGCACACCAGACACTAATTAGCCCATCATAGGACCAATTTTGATTTTATAGTAATAATCACATCTTAAAATGTTTAAGAATATTAGGTAGGGATTGTGACATAATAAAATATATATATATAAATATATATATTATTTTATAAAATATATATATGCTCCTAGTTCCTGACATAGCTTCTAAAACCCTTGGAATTTCCTGAGCAATAAGGGTGCTAGAAGAATCTTTTGTTCTATTATTTGGTCTTTGACCCCAGTTCCTGACACACAGCGCCTAAATCCTTGGAATTTCCTGGATGATAGGAAAGTCTTTTGTTCTAATGAGGCAACTGTCGGTGGGCTCCTGGATGGGGGCTGGTCACCTGAAAGACCAGGCCATGGTCAGAAGCTTGAAACTTTCAGCCCTACTCCCAGCCTCTGGGGAAGGGAGAGGGGCTGGAAACTGAGTTAATAATCAATCATGCCATATATGATGAAGCCTCCATAAAAATTCCAAAAGTATGGGGTTCAGAACACTGAAGAATACATCCATGGGCCAGAAGGGTGGTGTGCACCCCAACTCTACGGGGACAAAAGCTCCTGCTTACACTCAGGACCCTTACAGACCTTGCCCTATGTACTCCGTTAACGGCTTCTCATCTGCATCCTTTATTCTATCCTGTATAATGAACTGGTAGTGTAAGTGCTTCCCTGAGTTTTCTGAACCCCCATAGCAAATTATTGAACCTGAGGGAGAGGGTTGTAGAAACGCCCAATTTGAAGCCATGTCGGACACTGTGGATAACCTGAGGACATACTGCTTGCAATTGGCATCTGAAGTTGGGGCAGTCTTGTGGGATTGAGCCTCTAACCTGTGGGATCTGATGCTAACTCCACAAGTAGATAGATAGTATCAGAATTGAACGAATTATAGGACATCTAGTCAATGTCCACTGAGAATCAGAGAATTGGCTGGTATGTGAAAAGGCCACGTGAGGACCTTGTGAGAGGGTAACCATCTACAAACCTTACAGCACCATGATCTTGGACTTCTATCCTCCAGACTGTGAGAAAGTATATTTCTATTGTTTAAGCCATCCAGTCTATGGTATTTTGTTATGGCAGCCTGAGAAAACTAAGACAATATCCAACTCTCCCACTTTAGAGACAAGAAAACTAATACACTCAGATGGGTAAGTACCTATTTCAAGCTCACTCAGTTAATTACAGGCAAAGCCAGAGCTATCATCAAGTTATCTATACTTCTAGTATGGGGTTCCATTGTCTATGATATGCTTGCAGAATAGATTTTTCAAAAGAATCACTAGAAGGTTTCTAATTCAAACTAAATGAGAATCCCATCCTTTTAGTACTCTGATCCACACAAAATCTTTTCCAACAGATAAGCTGGGACAGAACTTCTACCTGTTTTAGAAAAAATTTTGGCTTTTATAATTCACAAAGCTATCTTATATAAATTGATTGTTTCAAATATATTCTTAGTGGAGGTATACTCCTCTATAAAACTCAAATGCTTCTTAGGGTTATTTTTATTAAAAATTAAATAACTTAGGTTGAGTTGAAGTATTAAATATTAATTGTTCTTTTTCATCAATATTTCATTATAGTCACAAATCTAGAATGGGATAAGGCCAGACAGCTGGCAACACTGCATGATATTTTACATCACGAGGAGCAAAAGTAACCATCCTCTGGTTCCTCAAATAATATTGTAAGCACTAAATTCAAATAGAAACAAAGAACATCCTTCTTGATCAGATATGGCAAACGATACATATTTCTTTTACTGGAATACTAAATTTTGGCTTCATTGAAAAGTCTTGTTATCATGGATAGTTTAAAATTCAAATAGTGCCAATATAAAATGAAAATAAAAATCAAATTGGCTTACCAAAACTCTTTTAGAAAACCCTGAGAGCCTTCAAAATAATAGTTGTTATAAAGTTAGGTGATAGAATCCTGCAGAGAAACGTATGTAAAGCGTCATCCATGTCCCAGACCAAGGTATGTACTGGGACTATTTCTAATCAGCTGCCCAATCAGCAGTAGCTGCCTCTCAGCTGGGAGCAAAAACACTTGACAAACCCTAAGACTCGTCCCTGACACATGACTGAAGATGGTAGAATGAGATAAATGCATTCAACTTTCACTCCAAGATCTTCACTAAATTTTGCTTTGTTTTGATTCTGTAAATACAGAAACCTACAAGGATGAAGGAAAATGAGATAACAGACAGCAGCAACAAAATGCTGAAGACCAGAAAGTTAATTTAGCAAAGCTGGTGGTAGAGAAAGCCAAAAAACAACCCAATGTATGACAGCAAACACCCAAGGATCCTGAAAGTGGTAGCAGGCTGACAGTGCAACCAGTCTAGACAAAAGCAGGTGAGAAGATTTTTCTTTTTTCAAGAAGATTTAATGGATAAAATAGGCAATATTTGAGTATTTTGAGAAATTTATACAACTTGAGATGAATGTAACGTTTCCTTAGGTACAAATTATCTAGATGATTTTATACCATGTTAAATCTAAGGAAATGCTCATTTCTCCTGGAATATGAATGTCCCTACTGGACAATCATTGTTTCTTCCCACCAGCCTTCATCCACCTTCTGTTCAAAATGTAAGGCCAATTTTCATTTAGTATATCACTCGTCTTCTCCTGGAAACAGTCTGAGGGCACTATTATTCAAGAGCTCTTCCTCTTCCCCCTATAGCCCCACCAAGGGGTGTACTCATGACCCAATGGTGGGCCAGTGCCATAATCATTCTTCATCCCTAGAATGACCAGGGACACTATGAGGAAAAGACTGGAAAAGCTTGCAGCCAGCCATCACACAGCAGCAACCTGGCTAAGACAGTCAAGCAGGCCTGCTAACTGGGCCCCCTGGTGCTGCAGGGATTCCTGGCTTTTAGCATCTGGTTCTTCAGCCTTCTCTAGGATCCTGTGAACTCTCCACATACTTCTAATACAGTAAATTTCTTTGAATTATCCAGAATCTTTTTCTGTTGCTTGAAACCAAAACCTTTAACTGATCTGTGTAGAATTTACTTATGACAAAGTAAAACAAGAAAATACTTGAACAAACTTCAGTCTTCACAGATTGATCTATCGTATATTCATATAAGGGGCCTTAGAGTTCATGGAGCTTAATCTTTTCTTATACACATGGAAAAAAAGATGAGATCAAGAGATTAAGTGCTTTCCCCAGTGTTACATAGCTGGTAAGTGGCAATGCTTAGAATGAAATTGAGGTCTGCTGATATCAATTGCAGCAAGACTAACTGGATTACTTTTAAATATTACTTTGTTCCATTTTTGTAATACCTCTAGTTCCTGGAAGTGGAGCTGCTATCCAGTAGCCCAAGTGTGGTGCATCATAGGTCCAAATTAAATGACTGTTATATTCCTTTACTATTCCCCGGCCATGATTTACCCAAGCACCTAAAAAGGAAGGTAAGTAAAAAATACCAGTTAATTATAGTTATATATCTTTAGAG